AAACCCTAACTTTTTCCAGAAGTTGGAAACATGTTAGTCAAACCAGTCAAGGTTCTCAACTTAGTCTCTTTTAGCCCTTTTGGTAGTGTTTGTTGGAGAAGCATGAAAGCCATCATTATTAAGCAGAAGAGCAGGGGGTGCATGTGTTGCATGTACTCCAACATAAGTAAAAGCTGAGATCTTTGCACATGGAGAGAGCAGTTTTCGAGTTTAGACCACCAAAAATAGGGGTCAAATTACCTTGTTCATGCATTATATTTTGATACATGCAAAAATTATTCTTTAACTCCAAGAAATAATAAGAAGATTAGATGCCCAGAAAAGAAGCTTTAACCACTTGGAAAACAAAAAGGTTGTTTTCTTGCATGCAAACCTGAAAAATTAAGCTACAGAAAAAGAAAAAGCTAGGGATTGCCTAAAGATGCAAGAAATATCATGGGATCACCTCAGGGGGTGAGAGCAGTACTCAAACAACTTTCCTTTGTTTGAAAAGATGATGAGGCCGATCTGAGCATCACAAAGCACTGAAAGTTCATGGGTTTTCTTGAGCAGCCCGGATCTTCGCTTGGAGAAGGTGACTTGCCTGCTAGTGTTGTTTTCAATCCTCTTCAGCTCTATTTTACCTCTACCCATCCTTACCAATCTTTAAGGAGTAATATTATTGTCTTCCCTCTAATTGGAGTTATTAAAAAAAACCCCCACTTCACCTGTTGAATTTTCTGGATTAGGGAAAACAAAATTATGAAAAGGATTGACTCAAAAAGAAATTGGAGAATGACAAGGATGCATATAGTTCAAATTAGATGTTAAAAAATTTAAAATATGTCTTAATAAAGACTATGCTGAAGATGAAAAAGATTGGGAGATCAAGAAAATTTCAGCTTAATCGGAAACATATACAAGTTCAAAAATGATGACTTACTTTGTTATTTGTCTATAATTCTCAAACAGGAGATGGATGAAGAAGGGGATATGGTTGAGAGAGAAGATATTGATAAGAAAGAAGGTTAAGCTTCTAAGATGAACTTACCTAGGTATTATTATTATTATTATTTTTTTGCTTTCTTGTTGGATCTTTTTGAAGTTTTTGGTAGACTCGTGAAATAGAAGCAAACCCACTTTTGTAGTTATATAAACATACTAGTTTTAGATCATAGCTCCTATTTTTTCCCAAAACCACAATTTGGTGAGGACACGAGGGATTAAATGTTGATCTTGGTCTTCCTTTTACTATCTCCCCCCCCCCTCCCCTCAATTTGTTTCTTTAGAACGTGATAAAAAACAATTATACACACACATATATAGCAGAAACAATTATGAAGAGTTATAATGTACCCAAAAAAGAAAAAAAAATGATGAAGAGTTATATTCGAAAATTGACATGCATGAAGTGTTTGGCAAAGTTGTAATGCATTGGAAGGACAATGAGGTTATGTTCCAATCCTTTTGAGGTGCATGGCAAACTTGTAGCAAAAGTCCATGTGCTACTTTCATTTTTTTCATTCACATTTTGAGGCTTGTTACTATTTTCATTTACCATCTCAATGCAATCCGGACATTGAATTCTTAGTTGATTATCAAGGAAAAGAAGAAAATGATTACCATTCATTGTTGAAAATACTCCTAGGAAGATGAGGACCGCCATGATTTAGGTAATCAAAATTTGTGGTATGATATGAATTCTTTTCAATAGGATAATATAGAGCCTATAATTGTAAAATGAAGATAAAAATCTTATGATTAATCAAGATTATAACTAATCGATGCTTGATCAGGTAAATACTAAGCTGAAGCTAAAAGAAGGTCATACTTACATGTGTTGCCAATAGATTGACAGAAATGAAACTTCTTTAACATACACCACTAATATCAAATAGCTTAAAACTTATGCATCCATCCTGTGGTCCAAGCTAGATCAGAAAATAAATGTTCATTGTTTCGTTTGTTTGCCTAACTGCAATGAATGTAAAATTTCTATATGTTCTTGGAGTTTTTGCTGCAAATTCATTCAGCAGCTTGTGTTGCAATCTCCTCTAACAAAAATGTCGTTGTTGACATATAACCACCAATATTGTTTCATAATAACATGTACCAATTCTGGCATCTTTGTAAAATGACCAAGTGATTCGACTCCTATATATGTTTTCCAATCACTCTTTGACCAACACAAAAAAACTCCAAATTACTCTCCAAGGACTAGCTATATAGTATTACTTTCCACATGAATTTTCCCCACCCAACCATAAAAATGCATGCATGGTGAGTTCATAAAAGAGAGAAAGAAAAAAAGAAGAATGACAATTATATATCACAAGAGTAGCTCAACAATTCCTCGTTAATCATAAGGCAATTAACCATGATTACAAATCCTTGGAGACTGAACAACTCTCTTTGACAAGTTAATTATTAGCATCATCCCACATGGATATAGACAGGAGGAGTTTCTACTTGGGGAGGATGCACTTGCATGCATGCTCGACATGAATAGGGATATGACAAAGTTGAACGTTATGTCATTGATCAATTCAAGAGAAAGAATTTTAGTGGACAGGGATTGAATAATGAGATCATGATTTTTCCCAAAAAGAGAAACTGCCATCTAGATAGGAATTTTGACCCCTTTTCCATCCTCCTCCTAACCACTCCACAAGGACCACTTTCAGTTTCACATGGCATTTCCAGGCCTTCTTCAATAGTTTGATAAGCAAGATTCCCCAAATGTATTAATTGCAATTTGTTGTTTTAGAACACTAATTTCCTAGTCTATCATCATCAAACCAAGAGATTTATAATAGTTTCTATCATAATTCGCCAACAATCAGCTTTCTCATAAGTGCATATTAGAAGAAAAACCCTTCAGCATTGGATTAAATTTGTTGTGACTAAGCTCTCTTATCCTTCCCAATACAAAGATTGTCACCAACTCCTCCCCATGCATATAGTTTTAGAAAGAAAAACTTGACAGACACCAGGCCGTAGTACAAGCAGGGTCGGAACTAGGGGTCGGCGGGGAGGGCCCCGCCCCAAGCTTCGGAAAATTATTCCTTCTTGTTTGGATTGTGATTTTTTGTAAAAAAAAATTTTACGTTTTCACGAACACATTTTTCAATCACCTTTTTATCTCATACATATCAAAATCGTTACAATTTTTTACAAAAACTCTTAAAGAAAGCAATCCTTAAAAGTTTTATAAATTTAACTTTTTCCCATTCAAAAAATTAAAAATATTTTAAACTACATACTAATGATTTAATTGAATCAAAGTTTGCTCCCTCAAAAGAAATTTTCTGGTTCCATTTACTGAGCACAAGAATGATTTTGTGTTGAGTTGCAGAACGGTTTGTTTAACGAGTGTCCTATTAAAATATATTTTAGGTGTCACATTTTAAAAAATATGAGATTAATTAGGGAAAGTAAATAAATATAAGGAAGTGTATATAAGATTAAATAAGGAAGTATATAAATGCAAGAGAGAATAATAATTGTTAGTATGTGTATAAATATATTAGATTAGGTGAATGTTAAGTGTATTAATGAATATGCTATGGACACCTGGTAGAAAAATCCGTTACAGAATGATATAACGAATAGATAGCCTATGGATATTTGAAATTTTGGTGAAGCAATTTTACAAACTGTTACTACAGTGGTTTTAATCTCGTGTCAAGAGCATCTCACATAAGACAAAATTTCAACATCGACATCAATGGATGGGGTGCCTTTTCCAGAAATAAAACATGGGAAAGATTTGTAGGTTCTTTAGATCTATTATGCAGAATCTAAACTCGGACATCTTTAAGACATAAGAAGCATTTGTAGGTACTTTTAGATCTGTTATTTTTAGGCACCAGCCCTAAACTTTCATCATTCAAATTCATATAGGTTGCATTTGGATTGAAGGATTTGAAGTCCCTTCAAATTGCTCTAATTGTTTAGATTATTTAGGAGATATTTGAATTTGTAAATCACACATTGTTACAATATTTTAAATGTATTTTGATAACTGGTGAATTGTGAATTCAAACGCTTCTTAAATAATCCAGACGCCTCGAGCTATTTGGACGAATTTCAAATTTTTCATCAAATTCCTCAATCCAAATAAGGATTTTTCTAACCATCGCCTAGTAGGTAGGTAATAAGTAGTACAACTTAATTAACATTTAAACACATTCAAATTTATTACCTTTCACATTCCAAATAATTTTTTAATTTAACTTGCATTTTGTTTACCCAAAAAAGAAAAAAGAAAAAGAAATAGCAACAACAACCACCAACACTAGTGGCCATCGGGTGCCAATTTGTGACCCGTTGTACAAAGCTATTCTTCCCTTGGGTCACTTTCTACTGATTCACTTAGGAAGTGTGGAATCAATTCAAGACACCAATGCACACTTAGGAAGAGTCGAATTAATGCAAGACACTGATGAATAAGTTTGCACTCCTTCTGTTCTAATGTTAGAGTCGTTGCTTGAAAAATTAAACTTTTTATGGAGACATAGTTAATTGTTATATTTAGATGAGATGGCACTGATAAACTTATGTATATATTATTTGAATTCAAAATATTCTTTTATTAAATGCGTATTGAGACTTTAAAAAATATATTGTTTTTTCTAATAATAAGATTAGAAAACATGTGTTAAATTTAAAATAATAATTTTTATTTTGAGACATTAATAAAGTGAAACATAGCATTAACAATGAGACGAAAGGATTACTCGATCAAATATTAGATACTATTAGATGTTTGATATACACCATTTGGTACTACTGCACATATTGCATTAGTACTAATAATCTAGTCAAACAATAGTTGTAGATCATTTCTTATCTACTGTCAACTTAAAAAAAATATATGGTCAGGTTCACCACACAATTGATACTAATGACCCAGGTGGGGCATACAATATCTTCTCGTCCCCACACTCCTGCTCTGTGCAACTACCGCTGTAAACATGGTCAAAATTAGAATTATGGACTATAGCTATTTGGCAGAGCGATGAGTTTCCTGAGTAACTTTTGTATAAATAAGATACCTAATTTAGTGCTTGTTGAGTATTGTCTCAGAAGCATATTCTCATAAACTTTGGGTTGGAATACACAAGAATGCTCTGTCATCCTAGCATTGTTGCCAACGTAGTCTCAAAAGTTTCTCTGCAAAATTTCCATAATCCTCACATTTCATAGAACTTCAAATAACCCCTCTCCTCCATTGAAAAGATAGGAAAGTAGGCACGAATGTTCAAAGCTAAAGTGGTCTCTTTTACATACTAAATTAAAGAAACACTATATTAAGAGGCAAGCTCCAAACCAAGTCCAGAACACATGATATTCTCAAGCGTGTTCAGTCAGCATCACCGAGTCCATCACTTCCATCACCTCTCTTGGATATAGGAGCAAAATTAGAACTAGGCTTTTTCTTTTGTGAAGCAATTTCAGCATTTTTCCGCAGGACTGCTCCAGGAGATGGGTAAGGACGTTGCTGAAAGAGAGGACCCTGAATTCAAAAAGTACCAGAAAAAATTCATTGGAATGAAGCGAGAGACAAACAATAACAGGTGAGCTGTGAAGTTTTGCATGAGAGACTGTATAAACCTGACAAATATAACTACCTACCATTGATGTGATGAAAACAAGCAACTGACTAAATGAAACAAACATACTCGCACACAAGTTCGACCGCACCAATTCTTACAGTTGTACTAATAATACCTTACTTTATCCTCGACTGCTTAAAGCAATCAGAGAAATACTTACTAAATCAGATATGTATATTCCTTTAAACATTTACGACAAGATATTTCCAAATGACACTAACAATTTCATTCTAACAAAAGAGTGAACAAAATCTAGGAATTTTTTTCCTCCCACCTCCACCCATCTGATTTCCAATCCCACCAAAGGACAAGTCATTCATGTCAAAAGCCAGGCTACTGTTTAGCAGGAATACCCACTGCTTCCCCATAAAAGAAACAGGCAAGTATGAAAAATATAATTCCGGAATTAAATACACAATGTATACCGTGGCAGTGGTGTCTGCAGCCCGTGGTTGTACTCCTTTCAGGCCTACAACCCTGCATAGGAGCAATAACTAAAGTTGGTAATAACTTCTTGCAAGTTTTGATTTGTCTAAATAAACTAACTAGTAAGATAATAAGTAACAGAGAAATGTCCATGAAGGAAAGAACAGACAGAGCAGAGAAAGAGTTTACAGGGTCAATTACTTGAATTAAACAAGGAAAAAAACATACCAACCACCACGCGGAGCATCAGAATACGAGCTTGGATCCATGGGATCCAACTCATCATCCTCAGAATATGAACGTTTTTTAGTATCTCTTTTATGTCCTCTTCCCATTGGTGGTTTCATGTTAGACCTGCAACCCAGAAGGTCAGTTAATTCTGCAGGGATGGACTCTAAACAACTTTCCATGTTTCATATTAAACTAACTGTGGACAGGTGAATACTCTGCTTAATATGGAGCCAATTACAGAAACATCAACTATATTCATTTTTTTGCATGAGAACACCACCCTTGTGCCTTCCCACAAATTGGTATATAAATGTGACAAAAATCACTGTTCCAATTCAAAATATCCTTTCACAAATGCCTATTGGACCAAGCAAATAAGCAAGTAAAACCAATTCCAAAGCCCTAAGACACTCCAATGCACCTGTGCAGTCTATTCCAAGGAGAACACTGCTTTAACTACCTAAACGTAATTAACCAAGGACATTTGATTATAATAATCTACAAGTGTGTTTGCTTATATGGCACACGCATTAAGCAACAAAGGTATTTCAAGTGCCGTACCTGTATGGCAACATAAAATCATAATTTCAAGGTGAACAATTACAAGTCGATGGTACAGTTACAATCATCTCCAGATCAGTGATTCAAGTTTCCAGATATAGTAGCCTACCTTGGCTTGGAAAATCCCTTGTCTGAAATTTCTCCAGTTTTCACAGCATTGGAGCCATGCTGCCTGGTTTCCGGCTGTGTCGACAAGTATTGGCTTTGAGGAAGATTCAGAACCCTAAGTAAAGACAGCAGTTTATATTTGTAGAACAGAAAAATACTTGCAAGAAGCTAATCACTATAATTTTCATTAGTTGAAAAGAAAATCATAAAAAGCTGTAGTGGACTTCTATGAAAAGCCGAAGCTCAACTGTCACACATGAGCTATATCTATAGTTAGCATTTTCAAATGAATAAGCATCCATCTATGATCACCTACTGAAATATATTTCAAATAAAACCTTCCACAAATATTGTCTTTACTCCACAGTTTTTTCAGGGATCATGCATAATCACCAGGGCATCAAATTCATTACAACATGAACATGACGAAAGCGATGTGAGTGAATATGAAATATAGGATGAAAAAAGGGTATTATGTATCAGCAGAAGCAATTTGTAGAACAAATATATCTAGCCAATACCAATGAAAAAAATTTCAAGTCTTTAATCACAGGGTAGACATGATAAATGGACACTTGAAAACAGCATTAACAAAAGAAACCAATTCTTGGCACTACTCCCGATTCTTAAATCCCATCCCTCCCATGCCTTTTTTTTTTTTTCTTGTTTTTAAGGGCACATTTTACTATCAAAAATCTGTCTAGTATACTTGGCAGGTCACACCTTGCCACTCATACAGATTTGAATTATTTTCCCTCCATATATGCAATTAGTTTTACTATCAAAGAACCTGAATTAATGGGTCTCAACACCCCAGCTATTGAAGCTGCATGAAAGGCCCTTTTAAGTAGTAACACTCAAATACACGAGTGTAAAAATTAAATAAAGCAACAAAGGAAAGGAACATTACAAATATTAAACAGAAACAGAACCTAATATTAGTCATTTTCTTCTGTCAAACATTTACATCACCTAAAACAAATTATGTAAGTAGCAGTACAACAAAAAAACAATGAGCTCAACCAATGACCATACCGAGTGCAATGATTGCAATAACCCCATGTCTGTACGAGGCCTACACCCCATCCACCACATCCCATGCATTTATTTGATATTGATGATTTATCACCCTGAGGATGAGAGGAGATTTTAGGTGATGTTCCTGGGCGCTCCCACTGTGATGCATTGGTCATCCTGTTGTAATAATAAGTTTGACCTGTGAAGACACATGAATCATGAAAAGGATAAGTGAGAGTGTTATGTCATCCTCAAAGGTTCCAGTAAGCATTACCTAAGTGAAAACTAAAACTATTAGAACTTCAGCATAATTTGAGAAGAATCATCCCGAAACTAATGTAACCAAAAGAGGAATCTACAGGTGAGCAGCCATCACATAGACCATACCAGTCGTTTCATCCACCGCCTCTTGCCAATCTTCTGGAAGTTCTGAATGTGATGCTGCTGGAAACATGGGTGCAGCATCTGTTGGTCTTTCCCACTGACTTGTCCCAGAATTTTCATTATAATAATATAAAGAGCCACTTGCAGGATCGCTTGCCTCAATCTGATGGATATTTCACTAAGTTAAACATCAAATAAGAAAATGGAATATATCTTAATTTAGTAGGGAGAAACAGAGCATAACTTTGTATGAACCGCATGAGGAGTTCCTAAGAATTTTAAAGAAACCTCAAATGACGAACTGAGCTTCATTTAAGAAGAGATAATCAATGGGAAAGACTTTGCAGTATTGGCCTCCCAAGCAGACTTCCACTCAAGTAACCTTTCAAATTTCCTAGTTTGAACTTTGCCCAACTCCAAGAGAGTTGGGATGGGTATTTACAAACAATTAGGGCAATGTGAAGCCAGAAAATACTTTTCTATTCTAAACCAGTGGAGACTATATTGTCAGTTGGATCATTCTCAGTCCTTGTTTTACCAAAATGACTTAAGACGAACCATTTTGTTACAGACATTAAGCATATGTTTAGGCCATGTTTCCTGACATTATTCCCCATGTAAAATAGCTGGTTCTTAGTTACAAAGAACATAGCATAACCACATAGAACAGCTGTTTAACTGTATGTCATCCTCCACCATCCATTAAAATCCAATTTCATTCAATCCATAAATCAGGGATGCATATAGAAATTACTCAGAAATACATTAAGAAAAAGAATTTAAAAAAATCGGGAAAAGGAATTAATGCTCACCCATCCTGGAGGAAGCTTCCCAATTGCCATGTTCTGAGATGACACAGCTTCTGTACTCTAGAAAGAAAAGTACAAAGGAACATTTAACTGGACGAGCAAATAAAAGGTAAAACCAAATATACCAAGATAAGAAAACACATTTGACACCTTTGAGAGAACCATACAAAAAGATATATAGACACATATGACAGGTATATCACTTAATGGCAAAACTATTAACAAATGTTATTGTTGCATCCTCAAGATTTATCGCTTCCATAAGAGCATGTTACATCTTACAAGGTGTACATATCCAAAAAAAAAAGAAAAAGAAAAAAAAAAGACGAGGGGAAGATGCACTTGCATTATCAGGTAGGGCTTGATTATTAATTTTTGGATCATCTTTCAATATGCCTCTGGCTCTCAATTTCTGCTTGAGGTATTCAGGCAACTCCTTACCCACAGGCTTCAACCTGGATTCAGCACCATGCTCTGTATTTCTTTGGCTTGTTTGATGATCATCAACATTATTGACTTCAGATACATACACGGATATTAGACTTTGACCAGCTTCATAAGATAAAAATTAATGACCAAGGAAGATAATTTTACCGGTGGCAGTGATATTGGCCTTTGAAGTAACATGATAAGCACCTCCACCCGGAACACCGTATCCATTTCCAATTTCCAAGTTACCTAACACAAAGATCAACATTCATTAGCTGTTCACCCAAATTTTGCTAAATTGCATTTTCTAATAGTCAACCCTTTCTTTAAACTAGAGAATATCTGACTGCAATAAAAACTGGCATTTTGATACTTTTCAGGAAAAAAAATTGTCTTCCTCTTACATTGCTTACCACACCCGAAGGTAGAGGAGAGGGCAGCGTACGTAATGTAAATAAATTATAATTAATCTCTCATGTAAACCAAGTAACTAGATAAAAACACCTTAAAAAATCCAAATTAATATTTACATAGAAAAAAAGGAACAAAATGACCTTATGCAGTTGAAAGGAAAAACAGAGCAAATAATTGCAGTATTAAAATAAATCGTTCTATGGTACAAAATCATGAGTGTAACCTTTATAAGGTGGAAAACATAGCTAAGGGATCATACAATAACAAATGTGGAAGAATTAGATGCACTTCAATCAACTTTATCCTCAAGTCTTTTTTATCTGAATTCCTTAAAGTAGTTTCAATTCATTAAAGTAGTTTTATCTGAATTCCTTAACGTAGTTTCATTCTAGACTGCAACTGAGCCTCCATGTTAGCAAGGTTAAGTATGCCAAAAAGAAGGGTCATAAAACATTCTTGGTGGCAAAACAATGTGAAGGAAAGATCTCGCTATTTGATGTGTTTGTAAGTCTAAGAAATCATGCGCATTCTAAACCACTTCATTAGCTCTCGATTTAACTAGCAAAACCTTCAACCATGATAGCAGAAAAATGAACATTTGCATGTTTAATTCCAAAAAAGTGAGTGACTCAACTAAGATAGACAAGTGGACCAACCTTCCTCAGCTAAGGTAGATTTTCCACGCTTTAGAGCCATTTGAGTACGATGCTCATTAGTCATTTTAAGTAGATGCTCCTGTAGATTCAGAGTTCAAAATGAACCTTAGAACATCCAAATGGAATATAGAAGGCTGTGATTCACATGAAATGCCAAAATAAATAAAAGGAAAAGAAGGGAAAAGACATAGCAGAACATAGCAGACTCAAGACCTAAGACACCTTTATAGCATTTGGGTCATGACGTCCTGAGAGAATGTCTCTCTGCTCTTCCGAAGTTCCATTTCCATACCCTGCATCTCTGAACTTACAAAATAACATGAAATTATTCATCATGTTTCCACCTCTATTTGCACAGCTTCTAGGGTAAGTAAAAAATGAAACAAAAACAAAACAAACCTCTGACTCTGTATAATTTGTTGAGTGGCAATTTCCTGGAACAATACAGGCAACCATGTGATTAATCAACAAGTGAAAAAGAATGGTCACTTCAATGCCTGTCTTAAGACGAGAACATACTTGCTCATGTAGCACAGCATTCTGAGCAGCAATTTCAATATCATTTTGATTTTCTGCTTGCAGTTGAGAAGAGCTAAATTCCAGATAAGTCTGCATCCTCGAGGTCGGCTATTCCAAGCCCACTTCACTAAAGTCAAATGCAAAAGTTCTTGAATTTTAGTTAAGAGGCATATTAAGTAAACATTCAAAAACAAAAAGGTACAGGAAAGGAGGCAGAAAGAGCAATCTCTATATGTTTTCATGATAATCACATTTTCTGATTTACGTAATCCATCCCTTCCCCTTCCAAGAACTTCAATAGGTGGTATCGTTAAAAAATTAAAAACAAAAAAAAACACACACACACACACAAACATACACACATCTGAAATTTGAAATTGGTCCATTCTTCGTTCCTCTTGAAAACTCATCCGCTCTACTGCTACACATAAACCTTCAGAACTTACAATAATCTCATTCTGATTCAGTAAGTTGTTACAGATATCTTCTACATCTATTTTCAACAAATTGAAAATCATATTATCCTTACATCATCAAGTGTTTCAAAATTGCCAGACTACCTGTATGACCTGTCCATTGTACTGTCTCCTGAAGCTTTTTAGCCCACATTCGCATTATATACAGGTCAAACTTTAATCAACACTAGAGTATTTACATTCTTCAGCCAATCTTTGTGACTAACTGAACCTTAAGAGAGAATATTAACTAAAAAATGCACACCGTTAGTGCCAATCACTTATGCTTCAACCTGAATAGCAAGCACAGAAGCCAATCTAAAGCCAATCCAGTGACAGGATTTAGACGGAAGGTACATTTAACCACGACAAACTATCTTTAAGTCTCTAAAATGCACAACATTTGATCCTTTATGAACTCAAAAATACTTTTTTCCCAAAACCCTTTACTAATTTGATTGCACAATGCAGATAAACTAACTAAAATTCCTAATAACACACTCCCTGTTTAACCCTTAACAACTTGTTCATAACCTAGCTAATTTTTGGACCATTATCATTTACATATTCTTAACTTTTCCTAAATTCCAAGTTTCTATAGCATAACCTTTGGTGAAATTTCCAACATATTGTTCAATCATATTTTTCAAAACTAAATAAATCAATAAAACTTACCGAGTCTAAACCAGCAAGGCCTGACATGAGTAAGTAAAACTAGTAAAATTTAATTGAGTTTCAATGGAAATAAAGATTTTATCCAAGTTATTTAACATCATCTTTTCATTCTAAAATTTATGATTTTCAATACAAACCCCCACCTATACCCACGAAAGAAAAAGGAAAACAAGAAATCCACACAACACTTATTTTCAATTGAACCAGCTAGCAAAATCTGGTAATATCCAATTACTTCCAATTTTCCCAAAATTCAAAAAAAAAAAAAGTAGCAAATTTACCAAAGCCGTATGAACAATTTCGAATTTCCCAGCTCAAGTCACTGCATACGAAATTTAATAACAAAATTGTATCAATATTAGCTAAGTATACATAGAATCATATTACAGGTAATTTAAGAAAATCATTGAAATCTGCACTAAAATTAAACGAAGCCGGAATTCGGAATTGTTTAGCGAAATTTTTATGGTCATCTGTTGGAAGATTCTTCCGTTTACAGGAGTCGGTCGATGGTTTTAAACGTTGTCACCGAAGATAGAAAACTCCAGGCAAAACGACGTCGGAGTAAGGGAAGTAAAGCAAGTGTATATTGCCGAAATAGTCCAAAAGTTTCCGAGAATTGAGTGTTTGACCATTTAAACTTGAAAAGGGATCAATTTCATTGTTAATCAATTGTCCTACGGTGCGCAAGTAGTCATTCAAAATTCTGTAGATGCTACCCTTCCATTGCTAGGATACAGCCTTGTTGTCGGTTGATTACTTGATTATAAATTTGACTAAGAATATATAATCAGTTTCTTTATTGTTTTCGTTTGTTTTTTATTTTAGATTACAAATTTTTTTTTAATAGCTAAATAAGATAAAATAAGTAATCTATCAAAAATGTAATTTTACTAATTCTGATTATTCTTTATAACCACTTTCTGTAATTAACTTATACAAGATCTAAATCAAACGAGAAAAAAAATATTAAAATTGATTTTATAAGATATTAATTTATAGTTAAAAATTGATGATTAATTTATAGTTAATAAGAAAGGGATTTAGGGATAGAACAGCAAGTCACTAACGTAGCATAAAGTTGGAAAACTTTTATTTGAAAATCAATTAAACGATCACCAAGTACACTCAATATATGAAAAAATTGATTTTTGTATGCAGATAATGAAAGGTAGAAATGCAATTTTAGTCCTTGATGTTTGGTATGTGCCCTAAACTGGTCTCTAATCTTTGTATCAAAACAAAATGATTTTCAATGTTTTTGGTTTTAGCACATTTAGGACTAATAATCATAATTAAATTAGCGTTAGTCAACAATTACAATTTTGCATTGTCATCCCCAATGTTTAGAGTTTGAATCACTATGGTCCATTAAGTTTTAAATAAGGATATTGTTTCATGATGAAATGAGATGCAAATTAGATCAGCATTGTGTTAGATTCTATTATTTAAAAATGTGGAAAAGCTAACTAAACTTCATTTTATCCTTTTTTTATTTTAATTTCATTCATGCATGCCACTAACTTCTTGTAAGCTTATTCTTTTTTGGCATTATTGGTTTCGAAATTCGTTTTGCACCATGAATAATTAATTGATGATGATTTTAATCGTTTGTTCTCTTATATTGACAATTAAACACTCCATCAAAAATTTCAACGTTTTAAATTAAATTGATCATCTTCTTTTTTTTCTTTTGCATTACAACAAGTTATCAATTGAGTTTAATATAAAGTACATATCTAAAACATACATTTTAGCCACAAAAAATAAATCAAATCTACTCACACACACACACACTCTTGTCTAATTGTTCTCAATCCTAAGATATATATATATATATATATATATATATATATATATATATATATATATATATATATATATATATATATATATGTATATACAATGTTCAATTTGATTTCAATAAGATGGACTAAGTTTGAATTGAAAAGGGGAATTTAGTGGAAAAAATCTTGAAAAAAATAAGTGTTGAAAAAGAACGGTATAAAGTGCCAAAACTTTATTTAGGAGAATACACCAAGATATGCTGAGTTTAGTGACATAATTAAATTCCTTCAGACTACAATTTTACAACATATGTTAAATTAAAGGCTATTGGTGACAAAACTTGGCAAGAAAAATATAACAAATTGTTTAGTAGTTACAACTTACAACTTCAAACATTTTGCTAGGGAAAAGTATAAACATGTCACGGAGTTCATAGCAAAATAAGAGTAAAAGAGAAGGAAAGAAAATACAAACAAGGGCTTCGTTTGGCAAATGAATTTTTTGGATGTTTGTATAAAACTTTACTGTAACTTACTGTAGAAGTTGTAGGAAAAATTTTTGAAGTTTATAAATTTTTAAATATTTTGAAATATATAATTTTAAAATTTTAAATTTTTTTTTGAAATTACTATAATTAAAGTTGTTAAAAAATTTGTAACAGATAAACTTGACATAGTTTGCCAAATAGGCCCAAGCTCCGAGGTTAATCATGATTGGTCAGATTTGTTATTCACCACCTGGCAGCATACTACACACTCTTTTGAGATTTACTGGAGTTAAAAACAGAAGGACAAAGGTCACATTTTTGTTCCCGAAGATAATAGGAGAAATTAATTATCCTAGAATCAAGAGTTCTTCGTTTCCTAATATCAACAAAGGTTATCTTTTTGTGTTTTTTCCCACTAAACATATGCAGCAAATATTCACATAGTTTATAATTGTCTAATAACTAAGTTAAACCAATTTACTTTTTGGGTTTGGGACAAAAAAATCTTATTATAATTTTGTATGTAATTATATCCTTAAATAAGTCCACCTGAGAAAGCGAAAGTCTTAAGTAAAACATGTTAATTTCCTGTTAATAAGACACTAAAATGTTAAATGTATATTGAGACAGTAAAATGACACTCTAATAGTGTAACTTGTGTTGAATTATATCCCAAATTAATTTTCCAAAATTCCAAAGTCATGGATCCAACTAGTACTGACGAATTATGCTAAAATGACAAAACTACCTGCCCAAGTCCAAATGCAATTTGGACTTGGAAAAAGTAATTTTGGCATTTTATTCAAAAAAATGGCTCTAGAAGTAAAATATAGATTGTGACATTAATAGTACAATAATTAATTTCCAAATTATCTTCATTCTTTAGCAGATAATTAAGTAGATGATAATTAAGTTGAAAACAAAATCTCCCACTTACCAAAAAATTTTTTTTTTAAAAGTTGAAAACTTTCCTTATCTAGTCTCCCATGTCACTACGTTTTATCTGTCTTCTCTCTAAACCCTACTACCCACCAAACTCATCTACCGGCTATAAATATCAAAAAAGCTCTAACTACCCAGAGTTCCAAACCCTAATCTAGTCGCATTAAAAAAAAAAAAAAGAGGAAAGCTAAGCTTCACTTGTCTTCTTCAACGAGGCCATGAAACGTTGTCAAAACAAAGCTGACAAGAAAATTCTTCAGACCGTCAAGAAAGGATTCAAGAAAAGTCACCCCAACCCCATCAAGGAACGTTGTTCTGGGTCTAAGAAACCGCGGATGCGAGTGATAATGCCAAGGGAAAAGTTCCAGTTCTCCGTTGTAGATTGGGCTCTTGTAAATTGGGATAATTTAGAGGAGACTTTTGTCAATATGGATTCCCTCTATGAAACCGATGCCCCATGCATGATACTGCTACTATGATAGATTCCGATTCCGATTCCGATTCTGATTCCGGCACTGGTGTTAGTCATGGAAAAGAATGTAAGTTTGTTCGTGTCCAAATTCAATCCAGTTGTTCTGGGAATACCACAAAAGTACATAATATTGGTTACTTTGGTTTAGTAATTCGAACGTTAATTTCTAGTAGATGTTAGTAGTATTTGTGAGCCTTTTGTAAGTATCTGTGAGTAGTATTTCGAACGTCAATTGAATTGTCCATCGAATCTTGGTACATCTACGGAAGTTTTTTGGTGGATCTTTTTTTTTTTGGTTTTTATTTTACTTGATCATTATTTTTATTTTGCCAATTTTGTTTTGGTTGTGTGATTTGGAAACCTAAAAATTGGGTTCCCAAAACTGAAGCTAGATGTAATGTGTAAAGCTTTCAGATTTTAGTTAGCAGTTCGAGATGATGTTGATCCATGGAGTTTTTTTTTTTTTTTTTAAATATATACATCCCATAATTGGGTATAAATTTGGACCAAAATTCATAATTGGGTTTTTTTTTTATTGTACTTAAAGAAGATAAGCAGTTTCAATTTAAGCCATTGTTTTGATTTCTATGTCCTGCTCGTGTTTTTAAGGAAAACTTGTAATTAAATGGCTTCTTATTTGTACAAGAATTGACAAAATTAAAATCCTATGTAGTTTAAAGTAATTGAAAATTACTGAGGAGCTTGGCTAAAATTGGTTTGTAAAGGCAAATTAGTTCATTGTTGAAGTATTTGGCAGAAATTATTTGCACAATAAGATATATATATATATATATATATATATATATATATATATATATATATATATATATATCCAAGTTTCACATGTTAATTTTCATCCCATTATGGGTGAGTTATCAGTTGTAATATTGTTCAATTATTCAGTATGCTTTGATTCCAACAATTTCTTTTACTTGTATTCCAAAATGCCCTCAAAATGACATTTTGTTTCTTTTTCCACAAAATTCAAAAAAGACTGTGGCAAAATTTTCTTTTCTTTTCTTTTCTTTGCACTTGTGGTAGTATCAAAGATATATCCGGACATATTTGGGCTTTCATTTTGAACGAAAATATTAATTCTTTTAAACCTACAAATACGTATTTATACTTTTGAGATTGAATAATATCTTGTACTGATGCAATACGAAATGCATATATATGTTAAATGGAACTCCATTTGGAATTATTTTGATGGATTCATAGCTATAAATCGTCTATCAATAAATTATACCAACTAAGCTTGTTTGAATAAACCATGCAACTAAACTGCTTTTATATATTACACACAAAACTAAACTTAACAGTCACGTACAGATACAAAATTCATAATTTTGAACATCATGCAAAAGCCATAGGATAAACTTCATGTCTTGAAACTCACGAAGAAATGACATTTACTTTTTTTCTTTTTTTTTTATTTTACAAGTAAGAAACAAGCTTTTATCTAAGTTGCTTCATGCCATGACTAAAAACAAAAGTTGATCAAGTTCAAAAGATAATATGATTTTTTATGTTAGCCAACTAAATGATTGGTTCTTGCTAAAGGTAAAAAATGTAAATAACCACCATATTAACGCTGTTGGGTGAAAAAAATTTACCTCTATGGGAGGTCACAGCAATTTACCCAAAATATAATAAAGGGTTGTTAGCATGTAACACTTTTAGTAAACACACTCCTAATTTAAGGACGAAGAAATTACTTTTTTTTCTATTTCAAAGTTCACATTGGTGTTTCTTCGAAAGGCAATTCACATGTACCAAAAGGGATTTTATCAACCCTAGATAAGATAACAAATTTAATATAATTTTTCT